CGCGCGCATATGCACATGCCGAGTTTAATTACTCGCGACAGCAGTCAACATCGCGCCGTTTATTATCGAGCAATACGAAATTACGGCGCAACGCGCCATCCGTGTGTCGATACGTAATTGCACTTGCGCATTTGCCTCTGTACGTACGTAGCGTGTACATGACATATTTGATTTGAAACGCCGAATTCTGGCCCCGAATGCAATATTATTGCGCCGCGCTTACTCGTCCGAATGTATTTTATAAAACATGCGATGTATTTTGCAAACGCGATCGTCGTTGATTCGAAATATATATATATATATTTACATATATGTAAATGAGGCCGAAGCAAGGATGATTAATCGGATTCGTTTATTCTTGCGCCATTAGATGCGCATCGTCTTTCTCATCATTAGCTGGAAATCCATCGTAATCGATCATTCAGGACTTGAAAATTATGAACTGCGGCTACAATATTGATTGTAACACGTAATAACGATTTTATATAATATAAATAAATACTGAAATTGAAAATTGCAACAAAATATAAAACGCAAACAAACAATTACTACGTACATAAAATTATTACTAATCTACACATGTAAATTGAAAACTCGAAAAAGCGCGTCCTTTGGAAAAAAAATGCGTGATATTTATTTATAGATGACTTTTTCGGCTTAACTCTTAATACCGGGGGGTTTTTTTTTCTTTTCATTTTGAACGATGAGTGTTCTTTTCAACCCCTTTGGTCCCGTCGTCCTCGTCGCGACAGTCGCGTCGGTTTTCTCGAAATTATTACGAACGTATCGAGAAAGGGAGGCGCGACCACAGACCGGCCGAATGAGTGTAAAGCCACATCGTGCGTGGGGCGGCGGCCCTGCGAATACGCAGATGCGTTAATGGCCCGGAGAAATGATTCATATTTTTTTCGTGCGGTCTCTTGCGCACCGTATTCGGCACACACACACACGCACACACACACGTCCCACAAATGCGATGCAGGAATATCCATCGAGAGGATTCGCGATTATGGTGATGTATCTCCGCAAATACGTCCGTAAAGCCGTCGAACATATGCGACGTGTCTATCGCTATGGAGAACCGCCATTGCGAAGCGAATCGTTGCTTGTTACATGGATAATGCGATTATTTGATACGCGACGTGTGCAACGTACTGTTTTATGCGAAACACACGCAGTGACACACAGCTTCGGTTTTCTTCCCCTCTTATTGCGTATCCGCGATTATTAGGAATTATTCGTCACGGAAAAGAGAAAAACGTGCGTGACGAGGCGATTATTTTCATTGGGTTTGCATATATATATATATATATATTTTTTTTTTTTTTCATGTGATTGCTTATTAAAAGTTGATTTTTAAACACACGAAGAGGTTTAAATATTCATAGGAAACATTTATGTCACGCGGAGAGACTGATGAACAATGAACTAGGCGAACAATAAGATTTCATTGTGATGCCAATTGCGGAAATAAAGTGTTCGCGAACGGCATGACGCGCACAATTTTTTTACACGTTACACGGAAAACGCATATTGGCGGTGAATATTTACGAGATACTTCTTGTGTGATTACATTACCATCTTGCTTCAGATAACAACTCGCGATACGTGCCGACACAACGTTCAGCTTATAACGTTGAAGTACGTGTGTACGCGTGTATATTTTCTGCGATTATATCTACGTAATTCTATTGCTGATATAGTCTTCGTATCGTTGTTTTTGTCTCAACATGAATTATACATTAAAAATAGTTTTTTTTATTATTTGGGCAAGATGTGACGCAATGTTTCTTCGCCGAATGTCGATCCAGCTTATGGCTCGCGCGCGTCCTTCTTTTGATTATTTAAAAAATTTGTTTTCAAGGAATTCTGTCTCCCTCGATATTGACAAATGTTGCGAATCGCGAATTCGACATGTTTTTCGAAACACGACGACACACACATTGACACAAACTACAATCGCGTACACGGTGTATCACATGCGTATGCAGAAACGCGCGCATAAGTGGGCACATTCGCGAGCAGACAGCCTTGAAGGTATTATCAGGTTGCTTTGCGTAGTCGTCGTCGTCGTCGTCGTCGTTGTCGTTGCCGACTGTCTCTCTGTAACAAGGTGCCAGAATACTTTTGTTTTGCCGTGTTTGCAGTTTCACTTTTTTGCACCGATTATGCCGGCACCCAACTCGAGTTACTCTTTGCGCCGTTAATTAATTACTACTGAAACCTATTAATTGGAGAATACGCTAACGCGAAATTGCCGCTAATTAACGCGCTCGTACGGCTTTACGCGTGTAATAATATCGCAAGACCGTATCCGGCGTTCCCCAGACTACCGAAACAAATAAACCGCGCAACACAATATAGTCGTCTAACATTAATGAGGATTATTAATGGTATAAACGTGATGTATTTGATCAAAATCGTGTTTGAACCGCGTTCGGCGGAGATATGATCATAACGGATTTTGATTATGCGCAATCCTTCGTGGAAATCGCATCACCAATTTTCGAAAAAGCCTTTTTTCGAATGCCGTCTAGTTAGTCACATGCGTGCTTTCAAATCCGTCGGCAATTCGCATTGAAATGACGTTTTCGCTAATTGCAGCGCTCCGATGTATAATCTAATAATAATGATTCGGCCTACGTGGACGGTGTTCGATAGAGAGAAGTTCGATCGCGTATACATATATATATATATATATACCCAGCATTGAATTTAATTCCAGCACACGCAACGTTCAATTTCCGGGGTCGTTCTAATCCATTAAATATTAGTGCCAGTTAATCCGTGATTCTGATATTAACTGGTGTCGCAGAGGCGGTTATATATTATCGCGATATATTGTCCGCGCTCCGTGCGTTGTTTTGCGCGCAGTTTTATTCCTTGAACATTAAAACGTATATCGAGAACGTATGCGCGATTTTTATTTCCGAGACGTGCGCAGTTTATTCCGCCTTGCCGCGGCTCCCGTATGTTTTCGTGTTTATACACGACAAAATCGGTTCGCGTGATGTTTTTAATAATATCGAGATAATGCGCAGTAGGTATTAGACTTTTTTAACATTGTTATCTTCAGCAAACTTTGTTAGATTTTGAAAAAACTAAAAATAAAAATGAACGCGTGTTTATCAAAATTTCAAAACTCGCCCTGTGGGGGACGTATTGTATACGTAAATGTTTTATTTCTCTCTCGCGGAATAACACATTTGGTTTTTATATTTTTATCACACTAAGAAGCACACGTCTTAGCTTATCTGACGTCGATCTGAAATCAATATTATTGAATTCTATATTTCCACCGAAATTTTAGCACCGAGACTGTTATTGCAACAGAAACGAAGCCCATCGATTCCTCACAACAGCTGGGTGCGCTCGCGCATATCGGACATCGAAACCACGGGAGGAAGCCTAATTGGTGACGATTTAAATTCGCGTGGAGAATCGAAATCAGTATTCGGAGGATTGGCGGTCTGTGTGCACGACGTCAGAAACGCGTATACGCGGGCCGGATAGGTATACGCATTACTAATATTACACACCGGGTCCGGCGGGACACGCGCACACGCGTGTTTTTGAGTCATCGCGTTTCAATGCTGATCCGTCGTGCGTGCGTGAGTGTGCGTGTAGTACGTGCCACGTAGGTAGGTATGTTTGCGCGCGCGCGCGTGTGTGTGTGTGTGTGTGCGCACACGAAATGTACGCACGCACAATTTTTAGCCACGCACACACGCGCATACACACGCGCGCGCGACATTCTCGCTCGTGCCCCGATATACGCACATGCGTAACAGGGTTGTCTATCTTTTTTATCTCTCTCCGGCGGAGTAGCGGTCGCGCTACTCTCCCCTTCCCCGGCCCCGGCAATGCAACCCCACCTTAACCCCATGGCAACCACGAACGCCGGCCACCACTCTAGAACAGTGACGTAACAACTCCATATGACGCCCGCGATCAAACCGCGATGAAACTGATAAAGCTTGTGTGTACATTTCGTATTATTGCGGATAAACAAAATGTCTACGTCATCGGGTCTTCATTAACTTGAGAGTAATATAAAAATTTAATATATTACAGGGGAGAAAAGAATTAATATACCTATATATATATACACACATGACGGGGAAGCCATATCGTACACGTACACACACACACACACACACATAGAGCAAACGACAATTTTTATATTCTATGACTTCAGCGTTTACGTCGCCATCTTAATTCCATTAGATTCAATTTAATTTCGATAATATCCTTAGCAAGGATATTTTCTTTTTCGTACGCGTTTTTAAATTGCGATATCTAAACGCGATAATCACTTTTTGTAATTTTATTTAGAACGCGCTATCTCTTCTCTTTATATTCGCGAAAATTACAGCACAAAACAAAGATGGCAAATTGCTATAAATTGTCATATCCGCGCGGTGCGTCTCTCGCGATAAAATTTTTATAATCGATTAACGAGAACAACGCAAAGCGCCGGAGAATCGTTGAGATCGATTTACGGTCCTGATATACGTCTCCCGCTTCGCGGTATGATCCCGTCCTTCTCCCTCGTTCTTTCCCCCCCATCGTCGCACACACTCTTACTCGCTCATTCTCTCTTATCTTCTCTTTCCTTTCAACTGGTTCCCGTTCGTTCTCTCGCTCTCGCGCTTTAACTCGTTTGCCATCGCTTCCCGTCTCTCCTCTTTCTTTCTCTCGCTTCATCTGCCCGGTCGGGATCGCCTGTCTTCGTCATTGTCTCCCGCTGGCTCTCTTCGACTGTGTTTCTCTCACACATGTGCGCACGCAACTCACGCACGCGATATACACATATATGTATATATATATGTATATATATATATATATGTACGCACACGTGCAAGAGCCAGTCGCTGGCACATGCACCATCCGTCGTGCGATAGACTCTGCTTTTTTCCCCCACCACACGCCGCGCCCCGCTTCCTCCCACGCCTGGGGGCCAGGGACCATCGCGGAGCGGCCATTCCTTTACCGAGCTCCGAGTAGCGCGCATCGCAGGCCGTTTTCGCACAGCGGGTCGCAACCACGCCTTTATCGAAAACACAAACACGATTCCGCACAAGGCGGAGTATATAACGACAGAAGAGAGTGAACGAGAGAGAACTACACAGAGACGGACAATAAAAACTCCGAAAAAGGCCCGACCCAGGGAAGGCAGCCCAGCTGAGTGGAAGAGGAGAAGGGGAGACGGCGCACCGGCTCGGGCAGAGTGGCGCGACATACGAAAGGAAGTTAGCGGCGAAAGACGGACGAAACACTGTCAGACTGAGCGCGCGCGCGAACCAGCCAACCTTCTCGCCGGTTGGTTCCGGTCTCCCTTGGGTAGAGCAACCTGCCAGCGTTACGGTGGCAACAAACCTTTTTACGTTCTCAGCCGTGACGGCGTACTCTCGGAGTTTACGCAGTCTCTTACGCGCACCCGTTCTGCACACAGACTGTACTACCGAGTGCCTCAACGGAATCGCAACCGGCCGAGAAGGGAGATCGCTTACCGCGAACAAGCGGACGGACGCAACGCCGTGAAGTGAGCCGCGCTCGATTCTCCTTATCGCGCTCGAGCTGCGATTCGAGCTGCGAGGTGCGAATCGCGTGCGCGCGCGCTGTAGACGACAAGAAGCACCGAGAGAGAGAGAGAGAGAGAGAGAGGGGGGGAGAAGAGAGAAAGAGAGACAGAGAGAGAGAGAGAGAGAGAGAGGTGACGACCATTCGGAGTGCGCATCCATGACCCTCGCGGTGACTTGACGGGATCGTGAATGTCGCGATCGTCGACGTCGTCGCGCTCCTCCGCAGCTCTATTCAGATCCCGTCACTGAACGCTTCAGTCCGCACATTACACGCGCGTAAGACTAGAGTGCGCGCGCTCGTGTTCTTCGATATTCGTGTTTCTTCACGCTTGCTGCTCGCGTATGTGTGTGCCGAGTCTATTATTTTGCCGCGACAAACTTGCGATAGTATTTTGAACGAGCGGTTTTACGCGAAGTATTTTGAATCGAGAATAGTCTCGATATATATATATATATTGACATATACAACACACAGTGAGTTTAAAGTGCGACAGTGACCGAGAAGAGAGAGAAAGAAAGATAGATAGAAAGAGAGACGTATACGCGGTGTATATACACACGAAACGAGGGGGAAGCGAAGGGCAAGAGACTCGGCGTGCACCGAGTGCTTAGGAACAGGAGCAGCCGAAGGGGAGAAACAGGAGGAGTAGAGTAGAGGGAATAAACGAGCCTCGCGCGCTGTACGCTTCGAGCGAACGTCGACGAGCCGGAAGCACCGACCGAGTGAGAGAGAAAGAGAGAGACTTCACGTCTGCTTTAGAAGATGTTTCGAGCTTACGGCACCGCGCCGGCTGAGACACCGTCCCCGGGCGCCGACTTCCACCCTCTGGCGACCCTGATCTTCAACAAAGGTGCCAAAATTTAATCATATTATATATTTCTTTATTTATTTTTATTATTTTTACTGTTTATATATTAGATAATCGTTTTTTTTTTCGCGACTTTATTCACACTTCGCGCGAAATCGACACGTGCTTTGGCATGTGATTTTACGCTAATGCGCGCGGCACCAATCTCGGCGTGAATCGTTCGCCTCGTTGACGCAATCGCGTTGACTATCACGACAGGCCGCCGTTTTCGGATCGAGGGGAGTTCACGGCGACGATGATGATGACGACGAGAGATGGTGTGGTAACGATGGCGTGCGCCGTGGCCACGTGATCGCGCTGAGTATTTTTTTTTTTCTCCGTTCTCTTCTCCGCTTCGCGTCTCCTCGTCACGCGTTATAGCCGTCTCTCTTGCGATATGACGACACGGTGCAATATTGCGCCGTCGAGAGCGATGGCGACGTCGGTTTTTTCGAGCACGTGACGCGTACGTCCTGGTGGGGCGCGAGCGCGAGGAGGGAATATTGTTGGAAATTGCCTCCGCGACGTAGACTCCTGCCTAAAGCGGTTTCGCGTGCCGGATTTCGCGCGGAGGTGTATCGATTTCCGGTCTGCCGCCACCGAGCGAACGTAAATATCGTTGAGGGTGGCGAAGTACCGAGCGAAAAGGAGGAGAGAGACGGAGGAAAGGGTAAATGAAGTTGTGCCGAGGTTGGGCGAGAATTTCGGCGGAAATTCGATTCGACGATAACTCTCTCGGTTATGAAGGAAGCGGAGTCGCGCGCGTTTGGAGATTTAAAAATATTCCGCCGTTCCTCGGAAATACGCGCGCGCGGCTACCTTCGGTCGCGATTGATTTGAAAGTTAATGGATACACGCGAACCTTGGAAATTTGCAGCAATTGCTTTCCTTTCATATTTTCCTATTATCGCGACGCAAAACGATATCGCTGATGTAGGAAAAAAAAATGGATTTGTTTGTAATTAAAAAAAAATATCGTTAGTCTTACGGTTTGCCACTGATCTAATGTCTCACAATTAGTCCCGTAACGTGTTCCCAGAATGGAAAATTTAAATTCAAATCGCTATCTTTGAAGAGAATATTTTGTTGCAACAGTGAAATGTTGTTGCTCAATCGAGCGAGCGTTGCATCTCGGTCGTTTACGACGGAATATTTGCAAACTTCACGTGATTTTAATCAATTTCTATTTGAAAAAAAAAAAAAAAAAAAACGCGACAGATATTTTAAAGTTGCTGGCAGCGCGCGTTACATACTCCATAGTGATTAATAGACTCTCAATCTATCATTTAGCACGAGATCTCGCTCTCGTTCCAACGCGGTAACAAGTCTTTACACGCGCGATATATTATCTGAAACATGTTTATTGCATATTATTGAAAGTTGTCTTAAATAACGATCCGTCATTTTACATTCCATCATTGTAACTTTTTAAACATTACGCCATCGGCATCGTCTTGACGTCATCCAGCGCGTGTACCACATGTCACTTGTTACGTGTGTTGGGCGTTTTAATTTATGAATAGGTTAAACCAAGAAGGAAGAAAAGGTAGTCAAGTGTGCATGCGTGTTCACAGTACCTACTTGCGTGTAACAATCGCAGCAATTGTGCGCTATCATTATTCGTAACCAAGCAACGATCGATATGTTCTCGCGAAATCGAAAATGCAATTGTTAATTAATACAAAATAGCGCTTTATCAACTTCAACATTCGCGACATTCGAAAATTTCAATTTTATTTACAAACTCGCGGGTTTTCTTTTTTGTTTTTTTTTTAAGTCCATCCATTTTCTCTAATTTTATTATTTATTAACATTTTTCAAGGTTTTTTATCTTGCGCTTTGTAATCCTCCGTTTTTTTTTTTCACCATCATTCTTCTTCGCATTATCTCTTTTTTCTCTTTTCATAACATTTTTTGCTCTTGGTCACCGTAGCGGGATTATCGATCATTTTCCGGGAGATACTTCGCGAGCGCCTGCGCCCGAATCTTTTTCGCGACTCGCGAGAGACGCGATACGTCATCCATTGGAGCGTCGCCGAGGAAGCTTTTAAAAAGAATAATCGCGTTGTTCGCCGCGTGTGTGCGAGTAATCCTTTCTTCGCAAAGACGTGTAGACCCTTTAAACTTTAAAAGTGCTCGTCGCCGCTACCCTTCGGTAAATCAGGTGCGTGCGCCCGGTCGTCATCTGCCGGTGACGCACCTGTCGTGCTAGCGACACGACCCTCCGACGTTTTCTTGCCATTTTTAAACAGGCACACCAAAGCTTTGATCGAAAGCTTATTCGGATACTTCTCAATCAGAAACTATGTACTTAATATAATGTATGTGTACATATACTGTAGCTTATTCTGTTTTTTTTCAATTTCTACTTTTAAATATACGACACATGTACTCTTATAACAATCCTATTGTTGAATTAAAGTATAAATGCTAAAAAATTGTTTTAACATTGCTGAACTTTTTCGTGACTAACCATTCTCTACTTTTTATCATTAAATCGTCGTATTGCATTGCGTGCGATGAGTTGATGCTTTAAAAAACGTCGGAGACGGTAAAAAAAATTCTTGCGAGAGATTTACATCCTATACTTTGGATAGAGTTGTCGTTATTATTATCAACACGAAGTTCGCACGTGTGCGTAGACATTCGCACAGGTCCAGGTCGCACGCAGAGCTATAGGTTGGCTGGCTGGCTGGCTGGTTGGATAGCTGGCTGGTTGGTTGGCTGGCTGGCAGGCAGGCTGGCTGGCTGGCTGGCTGGCTGGCTGGCTGGCTGGCTGGCTGGCAGGCTGGCTGGCTGGCTGGTTGGTTGGTTATTTCGCTCGCTCGCGAAGAGAGTCCCTTGACCTGGCCTGACCTGCGCAACTTTGCACCCTACCCTTACCTACCGCCCCCCGTATTGGTCGCCTCACTCTGCTCCCCCCTCTTTAGTCGCGGACTCCCTTTCCAGCGGTCTACTGGCCTCCCGTACCCCTCGGGAAAACCCACCCTCCTTACGTATCTACGCGTGGTACTTGGGAGAGCGATGCTTCTACTGGCTCATCCTTTCCCCGCCCTTCGTCATTCTGTCAGTTTTGCAATTTAGGAACGCTCGTCCGACAGTGATGCCGCGGGTGCAATTTTGAAATGTCTACGTGTACAATCAGTCGAGAGTTATATTAAAAAAACATGCTTAGAATATATAAATACGTGTATGTAAAATTTTTGTTCAAAGATTTTTTTAAACATGTAAAGTAAATTCGTGTCTTGTTAAAAACTATGCAGTTATATTCAAAAGTTCGAAAATTCGTGTAATTACTCGGCGTTTACTTATCTTCTCGAAAATCATATGTATAATATTTTATAAAAACGACACAAAATTACAAAAGGGGAGGGTAAACTACATTTTTCCTCTACAGAACGAGAGCAAGATGATTTTCTAACAGCGAAACAAATTTTATTCCGTTACGCGCTCCGTCTCGTGGAAAGTAATTACGCGCAAAATTTCTCATTAATTATAACAGACTTATTCATAACGCTAAGACAGATAGCTCTCATCCGGTATGTACCAGTCGTCGTTATAACGAGTCGCTTTACTCGCGCTGCAAAACCAGATTAAATTTTTGTAACGCGCAAACACTCCGAGTTTTTAACGGGGGGGGGTTGAAATTACACGGGATACACACGGAATCGCGCTCGTTCTCCCTAAGGTGCAATAAAAGTTTTGTGACATTTTTAAGGTCGACATTTTGCAAAAATTTAATGCAATTCTCGCAGTTCCAACACACGCGCGAGTAAACGTTTTGGAGCAACAAAATGTTGAGAGATTTGCGAGAATAAAACGCATGCAACACGCACGGTTTCTCTCGTGTGTATACACAGTTAATCTGTGATTTATTTAACGTGTACACAAAAACGTGCGATATTAAATTTTCATTAGTCCAATTAGTACGAAGCGCGTGTTAAATACCGGCATGATCTAAATTCAGCATTAGAATAAGCAAGTATCTAATCTCAGCACCATCATGAAATAATATCTACTTAGTTTCACGGCGCCGTTAAAAGCGAAGTTCGCTATTTCGAGAGCGAATTCCGGCGAGAGAGCAGGTGCTCGTTTAATTTTCAAAAAGCAGTCCAACCACTTTCCCTTCTTTTCCTCCCCGTGTGTGTTGTATTTTTTACCCTCCGATTTTTGTTTTCTGTCTTTCTCTCGTTCTCTCCCCCTCTCTCTCTTTCGGCGAACCATGTGTATGTCTCCGTATAAACGTCGCGCGCGCGCGCAAGAGCAGGAAAAAAGACACACCAGAGAGCGTGTGTGGATCGTGGCTATACGCACACGCTTCTCTTCCTTTTGCTCCGTTGACCGGAGTTAGAATGAAGAGGCTATGCGCCGCGCGACAGTCTCCGGTAATCGATAGTGTCCTCTGGCATCGTTTGTCTATGTCCACCCGCCACCAAGCAGCTTGATAGACAGAAATGGGACGTGTTTCTCTTTCGCCGAACGGCGGCGCGGAGGGTATCGCGCGGACAATTGAAAATGTCATTGCTATTGCCGTACGTTATTCCTGTACCCGCGACGAATTGAAACATAATAAAAGAGGACGGAATCGTTGACGCGTTATATATTTTTACATCGCGAAATATTCATTTATCAGAGTAATGATATCGGCTTCGACACGTTAATTATACAGAGAGCCTGGTTTCATTAATTATTTGAAATATTGCTAACATCTTTCGAGAGAGTTTGCGCGCCGAGAAATCCAATTGAGAGCTGAAGTTACGTCAAAGAAAATAAAACTTTTTCTTTTTGATATATAGAGAAGTTATAATATTTTATATATGTTTTTATAAATGTTTTTAAATATATAAAATATGATGAATTTCTCTCTCTCTCTCTCTCTCTCTCACACACATTTGACACACAAAAAACACGATCCTCGTTAATTAATGTCTCTTCTCTTCTAACGTTAGATTTTCTTCTGACACGTGTGTCTATAAAATTAAATCTGGCGTCTCAAGAATTGT